CATGTGTTATTTAGAAAAACAACAAGCTACAGCTGGACTGTGGTGTTCACTTGTCAACTCATGGGGCATCTCAACAAGCCTTGATGGCTGGAATGCAAATGGGATTTTCTGCTCATCCCCGAACAGTGCAGAATCGCAAAAAGGAATTGAGCACTGCAAGTTTACATTTAACTAAGGAAGAAATTGATAAAGCATTTAGGGTAAGATATCTAATATAATATCAACATTACATTATGCAAAAATATCAGGGTGCATGCAATAATTAATCTGCAAAAAACAAGGATTGAAAAACAGTGTTATAATTATGCTTACTAGTACTTCTTCATTTTTATGTATCGTGTGCATTCTACTCTCATTTATGAATGCAATATCGTTATTTATAACTTTGGTACACCAATCTTTATAGAACAAGAAGTTCATATTAATGGTAATTGATGACTTTCATGCTGTGCACACCATCCAAGATCCAAAAGCATCACAAACTAGCAAAGCAATTCATATGGCCACAGAGATTGTTGATATTCACCAAAAAATCAATGCAATACCCTTGACTACAAATCTGCATACAAATGTGCTTGTAAAGAACCAGCAATGTAGAGGAGGAATTGATATTGTCTCCATACAGCAGCTGTTTTCCAATAAGTGTATTAGTCTCTTCTCAACCTTCTTTCAATCAAGCCTCCCTCAGCAGTTTGCACAATTTGAAATGAGAAATGCACAACAGTGTGCAGAACACCTAAGGTAGAGATACAAATGTACATTGTAGTCAAAAATCTGATTAATTAAAAAGTTAATAATTATGGATTATAAAATTGAAGAATCTGCTATTAGTATTATTTCTTGAAAGTAGTTGCATTTACATGTATGTTGAAAACAGATGCTATACAGACCAAGTGAGAAAGGAACTGGATACTTTAAAGTCGACATTTCTTATTGACGAACAAGAAAAATCCCTTAAAAGCTTACAATCTTACAAGGAAGCAGTATGCCATGTGGCTTTGGTGCCTCAGATGCAAGAATATATGAAGAATTTTGCTTTGTATACAACTGGAGACTGGCCAACCTGGTACTTCCAGAAAAAGATGATTGCTCAGGTAGGCAATTAAGCTAAAAGAAAAATATACCAGGAAAAAAACATTACAACTGTAACATAATTTTCTTTATCTTTAGTTAAATATACAAGAAGATCCATCTAATTTAAATTCATTGGTACCATGGCAAGGTCCCTTTCACGTTTCATTCAATGCACAACAAAATGTTGTCAAAATGTATCGATTTCTTTTTGAGCCACTTTATAAGGCGATATTTGGTGGAAGAAAAATACTGGCAAAAAAGCCGAAACCATACCGCATCAGCACATTGATCACTGCTTGTTTTGGTGGCTGGCTTCTTGTTAGAGATATGGTCCTCACACACTTTGGTAACCATTACAAGAATACAGAGTTCATGTTACTTAAGTATATCATGGAAGAGGCTGTCTCATTAGTATTTTATTTCTACCCAGTTTTGTTAAGAAGTGGTGATTATGATTCCTACAAAGGAGCACTTCTTCGCATGTCAATAATGTTCATCATCCACCGTCGCCGTCACTATGATAAAGCCACACTCTGTCAACTAAGTGATATGAATCACCATGAGAATCTAGCGAGGTTAAATGAAGTGCAGAGGTCCTTCTTGAATGTATTGACAGAAAAAAAAGTGGAAATATTTCATTCATTACTGCGAAGGTGAACCAATTATTCTTTTGCTTTTTTATATATTCAATCATTATTGTGAATTATCACTATTATATCTTTTAAGAAATGGATCACATTATAAGACAACAATATATATTAAAATATTTTTGAAAGAGGCAGAAAAATGCAATCAGTAACAATAATACTTGTCTTCCACTGTTTTTAACTTACATGTAAACATGTTTGTATAACATATTATACTTTATAAACAGTGAAATTCAACCATCGTACACTGCAGAGCAGATAAAAAACGCTGCCCACCTACTTAATACTTTAAGATTCAACAACGGCTTTGAGCAGTGGTTTGCACCAGAATACAAGAGAGGGCAAGGACACCAAGACTACTCCATTCTATGTGGTTTAGCTGCAGAATTTTTAATAGATCTCTTTGGTAATGTATGGAATAGTACAGAGAAAACTGTTGTTTTGCCAAAAGGGAGAAAGAAGTTTCAGGTACATTTTAAATACAGTCAAATAAATTTAGATAATATTATTATAATATTATTTTGAAATTATTTCTTTGTACATAGCCATACTACTTACCTACAATTGATGCTACTGTTGACCAGAGGAGTCTTCCCCTTGGCTATGCCTGGGATAAGGATCAACCAGATCCTGAAAAGCTTTGTGATGCAAACAATTGTGTAGTCCAAGACCATGACTATTGTCGACTGTTAACTTGTGGTCACTCATTTCATATCCACTGCATGCCTGATGGAAGTTGTCCAGTGTGTTTGCCAAACCTATTGTCTAAAATCTCCACAGTTTCTACTACTTTCAATATTGGGCTTCTAGAAAAGAACGACGACAACCTTGATGATGGTGACGATGAGGATCCTGATGATGATAATGACGAAGACGATATGCCAAGCACTCCAAAGAGTTCATCGTTTTATTCATCCACCGAATTCAAGATATCCCTAAAAAATCGATTCCATCGAAAAGTAGCAGAAGAGTAACGTGGTCGAACAGTAAGTATATCTGAAGCGATATCACATGATATCAAGTGCATTGTCGAGTTCAAATGTAAATTGTGAAAATTCATATTCGAGATTTAAAAATCATTTTTGATATATTGTAGAGCATATATCTAAGTTTCTTTTGGTAAAAAATGAAGCTTATAAACTTAAACAGCTCCTTAAAAAAGACGATTTTCGATGTGTTGTCAACGGATCGGCAGACGGGGAAGAATGCGATCAAAACACCGAAATAGAACGCGATATTTTTGGCGAAGTCGATAAAATGTCTTCGAAAAGACTACTCACTCCGAAAGACATATGTCTAAGAAGCTTCCAGGAGGATTCCCGACCACAGACAAAACATTTTTGGCGGTTTAAAAGTAATTTTTCCATAGAGCACTTTTCAGCAGTTTACCGGCCGCCATCTTGGATTTAGCTAGAGCCGCGCATGCGTAGTCGTTTTTCCGCTCTGTCTATTGAACCCTAATGAAATTAATATTACTAAAGACAACAGCAAAAAAAGATTTCCTTAAATGAAAAATAATCAAACAAGCAATGTACTTAGTAGAATTTAATGATATTGTGAAAGAAGTAATTTA